TTCATATATAATCTTTCCACATTGGAAAATATTTATATATAGCGATAGTGTATATAATAATGATTTTGGAATTGGGCAGAAAGCAATTAAAATGTAATTAGAAAGAAAGGGTTTGAAAAATATGGCACAACTTGAATAATTCTGAGAAGCTCACTGTGGAATCCATTCGTTAATGAATGACAACAGACACATCTTCAGGTACAAATGTAATGTAATGTCTTTTTTCTCAACGGCCCACAGTAATTGTCTCATCGCAGTTAAAATGAATTGCCCCAGGCAACAGACAAAACAACTGACTTATAATTTCACGGATATTGGAAAAAAAAATAACTGTATAGCAGGGACTTGTTTTAATAAAACATTGTTCAATTTTATTAGGTATCCGAAGCACATCCGTTGACAATCCAAGCTGATGTATTGAAGGAAGAAATGGAGAATAGCAATAAAGAAGAGTATACACAGAAAAGTCTACCGTTAATATTACATCAGGTATACATTATAATTACTGCTGTATTTCATCTATTCTTGAAAGCAAACATCTGGGTATATTTTTCACTGCATGCCAACCAACTACAAATGGTGAAACCAGCGGTTGAAATCTCTGACGAAACTGTACTGAAAATAAAATCCAGCTAATATACTTTTTTTCCTATATTTTACATTCAACTCATCAAGAATCAGTGAAAATAAAACTCCTTACAAAACACCCAAAACTCATTTCAGCGAAAATTTATTCCAGCTTAAAAAAAAGTATTTTACAGTATATAAATTTGGTTATTCAAGATTGCTTCATAATTGATTTTGTGCTGCTTTTTTGTTTTTAGTTCTTTTCATCGGCTCTTGGACCTTCAACATTGTACATTTCTTGATTTCAAATGACTGTCTACTGTACTAATTTAAGCCACATAAAATGTTTTAAGAGTCCATAAAATTAGGAGTTATGTTTAAAATTAGAGGGGGATTTGATGAGGTGATAAAGGCATTGTAGAAGGAGGTAAAGGAAACATTTACCAAGATTTATCCAAGGACATACCCATCATGATTAAAATAAGACTTAAATGTTGATTCATGTGCCAGACAAAAATACAGCTCGCTTGTACATTACAACTTAACACCTTAGAATATTTCTACTAAACATAGAGGCAGATACCGAGGGTTTGTACAAATACCCTGTAATCTGTATTTTTCTGGTTTATTTTTTATTTTACATAGAAATTACTATTACCGGTAGGATGATGCTGTGTCTATTTTATCGTTTAAATAATTTATGTACTTGAGACTAACATTTTAATAGTGGTTATTTAATAGTGGCTAACAATATGGCTATTTTTACAATAATAACAAAATACTTCAATATTAAACTGGGAATTTTGCAATTACCTGAATTTTCATCCCTTTTGAAAATACAAATTCATGTTTATGGCAGTAACTTTCTCATGATTGTTTTCCTCTCTATAGATTATATACTGTAAAGGGATAA